CACAAGATAATTTTAGATAATAAATTTTTTTTCCTACTTGAGATGTACTTTTATATTGTCATCTAACTGAGCTACCCCATGTATAAATACTATTTATAGGTCCTTTTTAAGTTAATCAAACAATGAAATCTTAAAATTTATAGTAAGATATATCCACTAAATATACTGAAAAAAGAAATGTTATTAACAAGATTATGTTCATATTAACAAACTCAGTATTCATAATTATGTTTTTTTAATTCGTACATCATTGAAACTAACATGTCCCTTGCATATTTAAAAAAGTTTTAAATCAAGGTCTTAAATTTGGAATTAATTTATTTAATATATATACACACACACATGGATATATATATATATATATATATATATTTGATATAGAGGGTTGAATGAAAATGTATTTTTTTATTTTTTATAGAAGATTAATTTATACATGAGCTATTTAATTATATAAGAATATCAATCTCTTTAAAGAATAAAAATTTGTTTTCAAATTTTGGTTTTTAAAGACAAATTATGAAGTTAAATATAGTTTAAAAATAAAATTTTACTTATTTTTTAGTTAAATTATAGAAAACAATGGTTAGTAATTTTTAGAAAAAACTAATTGAAAATAATATTTACCGACATAACCTAAAAGATTGGACAAATATCTCAATAAAAGGTTCTAATCAATCTTTTAAAAATTTAATAATACATAATTGTATTATTGATAAATAATCGTTAAAATAGGTGGAATAATTAATATGTATAAATAAATTTCTTAATATAAACCATTTGATTTTTTTAAAAGTAAGCATTAATTTTTTTAGTCTATATTTAACTCATTTTATTATTAATAATAAAAATTAAAAAATAGTCTTCTAAAATCTTTTTTATATTGTTAAAAGAATTTTATTATTAATAATATAATTTAATTTTTTTATATATTTATAAAGTAAAATTGAAAGGAATTGTTTATTTATATATATATTATTTACTCTATTTTTAATAGTACCATATATTAATAGAATAATTTGTGTAGGATTAAATTATATTAAAATAGACATCTAGCATATATTTGTATCTTGATAAGTTTTTTACATAAATTATATCATATTAAATATTATTTATTAATTAAAAAAATACTCACAAGACATTTTGAATCCTTATTTCTTTTATAAAAGAGAATTCTAAAAGAAAGAAGATTATTAATACCTAATCCATGTATAATTGTAAAAAGTCTTAACCCTCAATGCTTTGTAAGATTGTGCTTGATTAAATCAATAAACAAAAATCTTGAATTTTATTTACTTTTAGGACATTTTACGATTCAAATTTATTTTTTTATTTATAGTTTTGTAACACATGAATTTTATAACATTTCATTACAGTCTATTAAATTCTTAGAAGTCATCTTTCTTATGTGCAAAGCACTTTTTACTTCACTCTAACATATATATATATATATATATATATATATATATATAAAAAAAATTTAAAAATCATATAATTATAATCTTTTATAAGGTTTTAATTTTTATTCAAAATAGTTAAACATGTGCAGAATTTTGTATGCAAAGATTATTGGTTTCTAGTGTAGATCTTAATGCCTTGGACTTAAAGCTAATTTACACATTAATGATGCCACTTACTTCTAAATGTGTTAAGTTTGAATGCATTCTCAAATTTTGTGAAAGATCATTTCTTATTAAAAAGTTATACACAAAGAACAATGTGCTTAAATGTAGCTTGTGCTCTCTCTACATCAATAGCTATATAAAATTTAAAATTAGCAGCATAAGCATAGACTCTTTACATGTTCTAGCTCCAAACCAAAGATTTTTCTTCTTATGTATTAATATGTATTATTATTATTCTTATTCTTATTATTCTTGAGTCCTAATGCTTACAAGTGATGTCATTGATTTATTTTTATTTTTTTTAACTTACTTGAATTTGTCATAGAGTCAAGCTATGGATTTAAATAATTCATTTTAGGATTAAATTGTAGGTCTTCCACTACATAGAATAATTGACTGCATCATCACGTTTATGTGACTCTTTGGATATGTGTACCACTCACAACTTAACGAAACCTTCCATTATAGTGTACTCTTTCATACTATTATTCAAGCTTCCATCATTTAAGGACATGGACAAATTGAGAACATATTGAAACATTCCAAATTACATGCTTAAATTTATACACACCTTAAATAATTAGTTAATTTTTCTTTTCTTTTCTTTTCTTCTTGGATCTTGATATAACAAACCACATGTGTTTTCCCAACTTGACAATGAAATTGAAAAAAAAAACTGTGGAAAGGTAGTCACCTATTAATTTGCATCTTTGGTCTTAGAAGGTAACACTCCATCTCTAATCATGTTTTTCCAACCTACACATGAGGGATTGAAACACCCTAAAAAGTTTTCCATCATGCTCGATGAGTTGGAATTTGGCTTTGGAATCATTCCATGATCTAATACAAGGATTAAACACATCAAACAAAAAAAAAAAACTCTCTGGCCCAATATAATCCAGTTTGTTGTACCTCTATTATTCTTTCCAAAACAAGAGTTTGTCCCATACCTCATAATCCAAAATAAGATATTTTTTAAGTGCGAAAAATCTACCCCATTAATCCATAATTTTCCCAATCCTATTCAAGTTGTTTGAACAAGCACCCCATTTTATTATTATTATTATTTTTTTTAGTGGCATCCAACATGTGTTGCAAACACATTTGAGGGAAATAATAATTAATTAATAAAAACGAGTGGGTTACTGAAAACCACTTGGTTGCCATTTTCTAAGATCCCGGAAACAGAGAAGGATGAGATGGGGCAGCGTTGTCAGCAATGAAGTAATCATGGATGAATGTACATTCTTCGACACGTCCTTTCTGGCGGGGGGGAGGCAAGGGCAGGGCTGGGTCGGGCCGGGCCGGGTGGGTTGCTGACCCGTTATTACCTCGCCCCCTCGGAGTGCGTGATTGAGGTCCCCAAAGGGGGGCAGGCAAGGCCCGGGAGTCCTTCCCTCCTCCGTCCGATCTGTCCCCATGATTGGGCGCTTCAGTGCCGTTCGATGAAGGGCTGGGTCCGGGCCGGGCCCGGGCTCGGCCATGAGCCAGCCAGCCAGCCCCCTCCTTTTCTTCATGGGCTACAAATTCTTCGCCCTTCATGGCCAACGTGGAAAATATGCTTCCTGTTCTTGTGCTCCACTACCTCTATTTATCTTTCCATGTATGGGTCCTACATTTTCTAAAAATAAAAATAAAAATAGAAAATAAAAATACCCGTTTTAGCAAAACATTCTAAAGAAAAATATGGTTTTATGCATTGTAACAAAACTATGGTTTTCCTCTTTCTATTGACAATTTCTTGAAGCTATTTGAATATTGAATCACTTTGAACCAAAACATGTACTACAGTGTATATTTTATGTATATTTTTTTATTATTATTATTATATTTGTGCCTATGTATACACCACCAAATGAGATGCATTTATTTCTATGACTGTAACCATTTCATTCTGTTAATATTGTATCCCTTTTTGGCTTTTGTTTGTTTACAGAAACATACTCTCCTGCACATTACAATTGACTTATATATTTTTTGATTATACATAATATTTATTAACATATTAGAAGCTTAAATTTGATTGATAATAGTTATGTTTAACAAATTGTGTTGGAAATATAAGAATACAAGTAGTTGAATTATATATATAGTTGACATGTTTTGCATGGAAGACACACAACAACAATATAACAAAAGGGTGCAAGAATTTTTGTTCATTATTATTATTTTTGTATCTGGATTCATATTTACATTTTTACACCTATCAAGTATATTGATAACTTAGATTCACAATTAATGTGGAAGTAAATTGAGAATGAATTATCAAATATTCCATGAATTCCATGTGAAATGTCTTCATAGTAAAAAAATAAAAAAAAAAAAAAAAAAAAAAAGAGAGAAAGAAAGAAAAAGAATATGGCAAATGGCTTCTCCATGGCAAAATAATTTAAAAGAATTGTGCATGAAGAATACAAATACAACTGTCAGTGCAAGTATTCTTTCAACAGGTACTCATACAAACAAATAAACCAAGCCACATCCACACACACACACATGAGGCAATGACATGGCTGCATATCTTGAAAACAATTTATTTATTTCTTTCTTTATCTTGTGATGAGAATAATATCTTTGCCACAAGGCACTGTCACCATTGGGTTTGTTCAGCCAAAAAGCAAGGTCTAGAAAACCATAAGGACTTGATCAATATCAGGATCAAGGACCAGATATTTGAATCCTAAACCCTAATATACTATGGAAACAGAGAGTTGGGGTGATACTGCAACATCAAGTTAAGGTCTTTCTAAATGAGTATTGAATGAGATCTTGTGTCCATACCCTTTTTTTTTCCCATTATTTACGAGTTAGTTACAGCCCAGCTTCTCATGTGGGTGGTATCCTTAGGAAAGGACACACAGCCCAAGCTTCCTCAAAACAAACAGGCCTGGAATTAGTTAAGAAACTGGCAATGCCAGGATTAACCCACAACCCTAATGGGGGCAACACATGCAGAGGCATGTAACAGTAGGAGCCATGGAGACAAGAGGCTAAAAACAGCAGATAAAATGGCAAGTGAAACAAAGCAGGAATGCTAAAACAAGGGGAGAGAGAAATTGAAGGGGAATTGTGTTATAACCAGCAGCAGCGTGGGTGGAAACAAGGCTATTTGTAGGCCTAGATATGCCCTCCTTAGGGAAAGCCTATTTTGGGGACCAAATGCAACGACATTCCTCTATCCAGTGAGTGTGGGAACGTGAGCGGAACGAATGGAACAGAGAGGTAACGAACCGGGAACGAGACATGGGGTGATGGTGCAAGACGGGCAGCGGAGAAGAAATCGCCCCGCGGGCTGCCCGGAGGATGGGGCAGTAGGGGGGTTTCGGACGGGCAGATGGGGGAGGCACCAGCGGGCAGAAAAACAGCAGCCCCGGCCACAGTGTCTCGACATTCGACACCATCGCCGCCTCTTCTGCATCTGCATCATCTTCATCATCCCCCGCTCTTCGTGTTTTTGTTTAATTTCCCACTCGCCCCCGCCCTTTCTCTCTATCTCCAATAGAGCCTCGCTCTCTGTGTTTTATAGCTGTGGTGAAATTGCGTTGTTGCGCAATACAAGGATGCGGTGGTAGTTCAATTGGTCTCAGTTTCTGTTTTGGTGAATTGGCTCGCTCGCGCTTGCAGGGAGGGAGCTAGAGTTGCTGGAGAGAGTTGCAGTGCTGTTTTCGTCGCCTTTCGTCTTATCTCTACTTAGTTTCTTTCTCCTTTTTTCTTTTTTTTCTATTTTCTTTTTTTGGTGTGTGTTTGTGTCTGTGTGTTTGTTTGTGCTTTTGATCGGCTTTGCAGTGAGCGTGCTGTGTCGTGATCATGTCTTGTGGATGTGGGTGCTGCCCCAAGTGCGGCTGCCAGGCTACCTGCACGTAAGTTGAGGATGGTGATTTGGTCGATAACAGGTTTTAGGCTTCGGTTCTCCGAGTTTTTGGTGCTGTTGAGGAAGTATCTTTAATTTTTTTTTCCCGTGTGTTTTTGGGTTTGAGGTTGTGAATTTTGGGTTGGATCGGTGCTGAAGGAAAGAGATAGTTTAGGGTAATTGGGGCAGATCGAAAGGTCTAAGGGAAGGAGATATTAGAGAGTGGAGCTAAGTGATGTGAGTGATCTGGGTTTTGAATGGAATTCTCATGATATTTTTGTGTTGTTGTTTTGTCTTTTTGGTTGCTGGTAACAGTTGCAATCACAGTATGACGTGGTGCGACCATACCATGAGTGACTTCAGGTGCACTACCAACTCAACTGTCATGAATATGATTGATGGGTGCGATGGATGTCGATGTTCTGTGTCGAAAGGACAGGTGACCTTCAGTTGGTTGTTTGTGTTGGTGATTTTGGCGCTTTGGCAAGACAACTCACGTACCACGCATGTTACAAGCTATGCAGTTATATCGGCATGGAGATCGTACCCCAGGAGAACGCAAAGTGCGGTGCCAGCTGGGACTGCCCAGCCGAAATCCGTGCCAATGGAAACTCTAGCGAGTGTCTCTTCTTCGAGGTTGCCGAGAGCGGCAACGATACCTGCCTGGATGGTACACCATTTCCCACAAACGCTTACAATGCTCTTTGCAATAACGTTGTTGGTTGGTTTGTTCGAACGGATGCAGTCGTCAACGACGCATGATGGAAGGCCTGTTTTAGAACAACTGAACAGGAATCTATGAGTTCCCTCGTTGTTTGGAAGTTTGGTTTTTATCTGCTACCCGAATTTGCAGTCCGATTGGGTTTGTTTGTTTGTAGTTCCTCAAAATCGATACGAGTACCTTAATGTCAAAAGGTGTGCAAAATGATTGGCCCCTAGCTAGTTTGTGGATTGAGATCTTGGCTACTGCCCGAGCAAAGTTGACCAGTGCCCAGTTGCCGACAAACTTGCGGAGAAAGCAGCTTTGCAATGCTTTGTCCCGCTGGTAGTCAGCAGTGAGCCTAATTGTCCCAGAGAGTATAACCAGGGTGTTTGAATTGGGTTGATGCAGGGACTTGCGCCAAGAAAGGAGGGATATATTTCGAGTAGATTGGCATGCCAGTCAAATGCGACTGGTGACTGGCACCTGCATCTGTCCAGCGGGCTCCTGTACCATGTTACAGTGTCAATATGAGGAATGTGCGGGAGGGGTGTAAAAGAATAGGTAGAGTTGTTTCTTTTGGAAAATAATCACATCAGTAGTCAGCGGAACACACCACCACTGCTTGGATCACCAGGACTAGCAGGAGCCAGTCATTAGATCCTCAGTTTCTGGACTTTTAGTATTACGGGCCAGCCGGTCTGCCGACGGCATGGGTTGATCGACTATATTACTGTGTGCTTAGTCACATTAAAGGATTACATCTTCGCCTATTTGGAACGTTTGTGTGGTTGGTTTTTGTGCTACCGGGAATGACATACAATGCACTCTGCGCCGCGTCCAAGCCCTTGATTGCTACCACGCTTGCTTAGGATGCTATAATCAATGGTGATAGATTCTGGGCCTTTGTGTAAAGGACATGGCCTTGCAGCTGTATGCTTTTTTGTTGCAGCGTTCAATGCAGTCAACATGAGAATATACTGATTTCCAATGGTCTATGAACGAGGCAATGTGATGGTTGTACTTCGTATCTGTCTGAAATATCTGATGATCTGTCCATCGGTTGGCATTTCTGATCACGTGAACAAAGCCATTAATTTTTAGCTAGATACTCATTGTGCAACTGTGTTCATTCCTTGCACATTAATAGAATCAACGACGGCGTTGCTTGGGTTGAATGGCCCCTTCTTTCATCAACTTCGATGCTTCATGGCACTGTATTCCTGACGTGGGAACGATCTGAAGTCCCTTACTAAACATAAGCTTTCAGACGACCCACTTCATGATCCCAATGCTGAATGTTCACTCGTTTTTGTTGAGATGGTAGGGGGTAGGGTCACCACCGTGGGAGTCGTGGGTGCCAGTATCGAACCTTCTCTACTTCCTAGATGCTCTCTGGATCCACAGAAGCAGGTCCCAAGTGACCCAGTGGCCTCTATATCCAGTTTTGCGACAGATCCACGGCCAGCTTCTGAAAATATGCCACCCGCACACGCTTCTCGGGTCGAATCTCTAACTAATTTCAATCAATCTCGCTGACTCCTTGTTTGTAATTTTGTGCTCTGCCCCGGCTTTTGTCTTGTCACCTGGCCCGGTTCTCTCCATGCCTCACATCAAGTTTCCAGTCTCACTTCTTATAACTAGTGTGCATTCAAACCCTTTGCAAAACAACAGACTCAGTTCTCTTGCGTCGGAATCCCTCCTTTTCCTTCATTCTTTGCGTTTCTCATGTATTTCATGCTAATGGTTCTCTTTGTTTGTTTGTTTGTTTGTTTGTTTGTTTTTTTAACTTACTGCTTCATTCAGATGTTTTTCTGAAGTGTGATGAATTATATTGTGTGTGTTTTTGTGTCTATATATCTGTTTACATATACTCTATATACACTTGTTCAAGGTTTTGGAATACTTCAAAATCGTTCAAATCTATCTCAAAGCAGCAGTAGCGTCAGCCTAAAATGGTTGAAAGGATTGTTGAAAGTGTTGTTGTTGTTGTTGTTGTTGTTTTGTTTGTTTTGTTTTGTTTTGTTTTTGTTTTGTTTTGTTTTGTTTTTTTTGTTTTTGTTTTTTTTTTGTCTTAATTTATGCAATATACTGTGTAATTCAATGATAGAGTCTTTGCTATTAAAGAGCATTTCATTACAAAATGTATTAGTAAGTAGGTTCATAGTGTATTAACACAGTTTCAATATTATTTATTTATTTATTTATTTTGAAAATAGCTAAAGCCAATTATACACATGCGTGTATTTATGTATGTCTATCAATGTGTATATACACACATAAAAAATCTAAACATCATATTCTATAGTGCACTTAATTACATTCAAAATAATATAAATATTTAATTTTCTTACAGCTAAAAAATCATGCAAATAATTACTCTTTTTGGTGAAATAAAAAGAATATTTAATTATATCTGATGTTCTCAGTATTTCAGTTTGATTTTACACTTTAAAAAAATCATACAAGTGTAACTTCAAAATTATGATGACAATGCATCAAGAAATTAAACTAAAAAATAAGTATTTTATTTAACAATAGAGGATTTGTCTTAATTTTGTAATTGTATATAAGATATCATGATAGAACATAAATTTTATTAAATTTTATATCTATAAAGATTCATAAAAAACCAATTAATTAAATTTTAATTTATAAAAAATATTTAAGAATAATTTATTGAATAATTAAAAAAATTGGTACCTATAGTCCAATAACTTGTGTGAACAAAAAATATATACTTATAAAACCACCACACATATATGAGTATATATAAATATACACATATATGTGTGGTGGTTTCTTTTATTTATATTTATATTCTTTTATATATATATATATATATATATATATATATATAAGCAAGCTCATTATAAGAATATAAATAAAAGAAACAAATAAGACCTTTCATTAGTTGCTTGAAATATTACTAAAAAAAATATCACAAAAATAAATAAAAGAATATTAAGATAAGCTAAACAACTTAAAGGATTCTTTATAGATTTTGATTTTAGTCGATACTACTCTCAAAAATCAATAGTATCTTTAAAAACCATAGTTAATAGAAGATCTCAATATTATAATCTAAGTTCTAGCATTAATCACTAAAAGCAACCAAATTACAAAATAATTGATCATAGAGAGTGAAGAAAACATGAATAACTTGAGCAAAGAAGATTTCAAAGAAGAATTGGACGTACTATAGATTAAAAGATATGTAAAAAAGATTTATAATAAGCTAATTTAGAAAATTGTCCAACAACAATGATAGATACAAGAATCAAAGGTAGCTAAAATGATAGAACAATTTACTATTGATTGTAGAATAATTTTTCAACAAGAGTATTAGACAAGAGAGATAATAGCTTTAAAGAAGTGGAAAAGAAATATGATTAAGCACTAGAATTTAAATTATTTAGCTTAATTATAGAACAATTGTTCAATAATAATAATAAGCACAAAAAGCACTAGGGATTAGACATTAGATACAACAAATAAATATTAGTCAAATATATATATATATATATATATATATATATATATATATCAAAGAGTGGCATAAATAATTCGTGGAATATAAAATATCTTAATCTAATTGTAGAGCAATTGACGACTAATTACAATGAGCACAAGAAGAAGCAACAATTCAATAACAAATGTGACACATAAATATTAGTAAAGATGATGAAAAGGAATGTATAAAAGATCAAGATTGTCTTAGAAATTCTAGTGTGTCCATTGTGGTGTACTCTATTAGATTGAAGATTAATTTGTACGATTATTATAGAATATGATAACATTTGATATATGTTGTTTGTATAAAAAGATTGAGTTTCTAATTTTTTAACCTCCACTATTAGTAATTAAAGAACCTCTTGATGAAAAATTTGAATAAAAAAAAGAGTTTTTAAAAATTATTTTTGTTAGTATAATTCTATATATGCATTTTTCTTGGTCAAAGTCAAAATCAATGACATTTTTTTTGCAAGATTATGGTTTATATATTTCTTAAATAATTATTAAGCTTTTTTTTTTATTAAATTAATATATTTTTACCAAAATAAAGAATGCATACAAGTTATATACAATTTTATGTACATGATTCTAAAGTTGCATATGAAACAAAAATAGAATATAACAATAATTTATTATATTAAATAATATTATTGGAAAAAGTAAGAAATTTTAGAGACTTAATTGATGATATTTGTGTATACTTTTATTTCAGCAATAAGGTTGATAAGAGAAGTAACAATCTTTAAGCATTTAAAGAAGTTGTAGTTATTTTATTTGCAATGAAATAAAATCACAAGAAATGCAAGATATAGATATTAGATTGTGTGGTGGACCTTTGCAAAGAGCCTACAAATGCCATCATGCTTATTTGGTATTGCATTATGTTTTATTTTTATGTTTTATTTATTTATTTATTTATTTATTTTTGTGTATAGTGAACTTAATTAATATGAACAATCATATTAATGGAATGCTAATATTAAATATGATGGTGAAGAATAAGATAAACTATATGCTTAAATTGATCAAATAATTTTTATATTTTTATTAGAATTACAAAATAAAACAATATTTTAACATTTTTCACAGTAGAAAGTTGTTATAAGAATTTAGTTGATGATTGGGCCTAAAAAAACAGAATTTACTAAAATATCTGAAAATAAACCAAGATATGCTGCATGCTAATATCTATCAAGGAATAATTAATGTTGTTGAGGATATGAAAAAAATCAAGGAATAGAAATATAGAACTCGGAAAGATAGAAAATTATTTCATTGACATATATTGGAAGTACACAAAGTATGTTTGAAATATTTTAATATTCAATGGCAATCTCCTGATGTGTTTGAGACAATGACTATAAATTTTAGATACTCTAAAATTATTAGTACATTGCTTTTAAAGCAGAGAGCTAAGAATAAGCGTAATTTGGTTACAAGGGTTTGTGAACTCAAATGTGATGCATTAGTAGAAGATGTATAAAAGCACAAAATATTAAAAAATATTATTTTAAGTCTTCATACCCTCAAGTTCTAAAAACATGGTCTTTTGCATATGCTCTTTTTTCTATTTTTTGATCAAGAAAAGAAGAAAAAATAACCGATTGACATTAATAGGATTATTTGTGTATAGATTTGACTTGAAGAAGAATATCAACTATTATTTGAGTCCATTACCACTTGCATAATTTAAGGCCCATATGAACCTTAGAATCTACATATTCTATGCATGGTAGATGAAAAAAGTCAAACAAGATGTTTAAAGCAATATTAAGATGTAACATTGATAGATCAAGATGGATATCTTTTATAACACAAAAAAATCAACAAAATATCTTTCAATGTTAATGGTAGTAACCTTGTTGATAATCAAGATGTGATTCAATACAATCCTATATTAAAAAACATATAATTGCCATATTAATGTTAAAATTTGTGCTTCAATTTGCATAGTGAAATATGTTTAAAAATATATTTATTAAGGACATAATTATAATAAAATAAAAATAGAAAGTAAAGAAGATGAAATTAAGTGCTACATTGATTTACAATAAATTGGAGCTTCCAAAGTTTCATTATATTGTAATATGACTATTGAGGGTATGAAGCCTTATAATAACATTTCTTAGTACTTTGTGATTTTATTTAATAGACCTTTAAGACTATAAAATGAAAGAAAAAAATAAATAGTATATTATAGGGGAGTTTATTTGAAAAACATAGTATTAAATTACTTAAAAAAAATATGAGTAAAAGAACA